AGGGTGGGAATGAGTGTGTAAAATAATAAAAGAAACATTCGAAACACGAACCTGTTTAATTTACTCAAGTCACGTTCACCACTTGAGATAGCTGCCTTGATTTCATCTAACTGAAGCCCTGCGAGTGTTCCATCCTCTCCTGTCGATGCCACTGCCTGCTTGCCGGCTCGAGCTAGAGCCTACAGGGAGGACGAAAGAAAACCACGAGACTCTACTATAACTCCATCCGGTAAGATCAACAAAATAAAAAAAACAAAAAAAACAATCAGAATTACAGACTCTCTTTTTTTCCAACAAGGGTACTCTTTTTTTAAGGCACATTCTGGGTGTTATAACTAACAAAAGAAACCACCGGCTCAATTTTCTCATCTGACGAGTGAAAAAGGTTAAATTACCTCCCTCTGCTGTACAAGTCTTCTCTTCTCCTCTCCTATTTCCTCTTGATTCTCCTCCAATGCTCTCCTCTATGAATTAAGGAAAAAAAAATTGTTTTCTTTATTAACGCGACGATGGAAACTGACAGGCAAGATTCTGATCAACTGGTAAGTAAGGAACATGGAACAATTAATGTTAAATGGCATGTTTATGGCGATCAAACCACCAGATCGTGCGATTTCATCCATGCAAATGAAACCAGTCAAACGCGTCGCCTGAAGAAGACGAACAGTTTGCAGTCAACACATCTTGATCACGATCTAAATTACAGCGAAACAAACGATTCTGCATAAACATTATTGTATTTCAACACAATTCCTTACTTATATATTGACTCTTAATGGACAAAATTGTTCAAGTTGGCATACCTGGGAGGCTAATTCTTCTTCCTCTTGTTCAAGTGCCTCGCGCAGCTTGTGCAGGTTGTCTCGTTCGGTCGCCATACTTGCTTCCTAATATTTCCAAAAAAAAAAAACTGTCCTTATTTAAAAGTGCAAAAAGGTTGTACAAATGATATTGTTCCCGAAGAAACAAGTCATCACAGTGAGGGAAATTCTGTAACAAAACCACCAGCGAAACTGAAGCCTAAGCCTTCGAAAACGAAATTTCCGCTCAGCATTAAAGCTGAACGCCGACAAAATCTTACTTCAACTTGACAGAAGCTAGTAAGTAATGGATTGGTAAAAAAGATTAACTCAAAGAAGGCCATAGAGAACGAGAACTAGCATAGAGATGGTCAAGAAAGGTGGAGAAAACGCAGTTCGCAAAAGAAGGCGAAAAATATTTGGGCTAAATTTTCTGTGTAAAGGCACAAATTATGATGTTGATCTTTCAAATACGACATTGAATAGTTAATTTTTAAACCGGAAGAATTGCTTTCAATGAAAACATGACTATCATTGTTGAACGGCATCACATAAATACATTTTATTTTAATTTGATCGTGAACGTTGAAAGAACTCTTACAACAAAACTAAATGCGGGTGACAGAAAGAAACACGACTTGGACCACAGACTCCTTTCGACCGTCACCTAGATCCCCTCCGCATTCGAGATTTCTCTGCAGTAAAAAGTTTTCTGCGTTTAGCCCCGCCAAAGAAGGAATGTCACTGGTTTAAACATATGCGAGTTATACTTCCACTATTGAATTACATGATGATCGCATAACGCAGCTCAAAACTCGGAAGGCAGAGAGGCCGAATAGGAACCATTGCCAGACGATGCATGAGCCTGTAATCATAAGTCTTAAAAACATTTCAATCAGACGAAGTTAGAAATAGGAGACTGGTGCCTAGCAGCCACGTATTTCAAGCTCACTTTCTCGCGGCCACGCAATGCCTCTACTATAATTTGATATTGAGAAGTCAATTTTGGAAACACAAAGTAAAAAACAAACCATTTGGTCCAGTTCTCTTTGCAGCTTGTTCTTCTCAGTCTCCATCTCCTGTCGCAGTTTGTTCATATTCTTTTTGTGTTCATCTGTCAAGTTCCTCTTCTCCTTTTCCCATTTTTCGCTCAAGTCAAACCTCTCCTTGGTCTCCTGCTCACAGAATACAAGAGGAAATATGTACAAGCCATGCGCGGCCATGTTTTCTTCTCATAGGGCCTCTCTATACCAAAATTTCCTGGAAACATGGCAACATGCCGAGGGGAAACTGCGATGAAATAGCTTTCATTGAAAAGGTTACTTTTAAACTGAATGTCAAAAGTAATCCGGAATTGCATTGTTTTCATTTTTACTTCAGTCTGTGATTGGTTTAAAAAAACTAGCGCCACGCTTTAAACCAATCAGACGCCAAACGAAAACCAATCGTGACTTGGTCGCCTACGTCAACGTCTTGCCGCGCTTTTAGTAGTTTAACTGTTTTTCACTTTGAGTCTTCATTGGCTAATGATGATACAAGCCTTTATTACGATTGGCCGTTGTAATTACTTTGGTTTTGGTTTTACGGCAGTCAATTAAAAATTGCATTACGCGAATTTCTTGAATGTTAAGGATATTATTTTGTTTTATCACATTACCTGTTCCTTCCACTCTTGTTTTATGCTGTAAATTTTCTTCTCGTATTCTTTCCGCAAAGCCTCCTACAAAAATACATTGTTTAAAAAAAGTTGTAGAGGGAAATTTGACACTTAAAAGATGAATCACTTTTTAAAAAGGAATCTGCAAAAAAGAAAAAAAAATTAACTCAAGGGTGAAAAGATCTTGAACGAGGTGGTGGCGGCCGAGTGGTTACCAAGTTGGACTCCGCTTAGAAAGGTCTGGGTTCGGAGCTATCCTCTGGCAGGAGAAGAAGCAACTTTCTACCCTACATGCCAAAGAGACCGGTCGAAGGTTCTCAAAAGTTCGCCAAATACTCGCTCGACTTACTAGTTGTTCCTCGTTCTTAGCTTCTAAATCTTTTTTCCTGTTCAAAAATTCTTGTTGAGCCTATCAGGAAAGAGAAAAAATAATTAGACAATCTTCTAAGTGATAATTAGAACATAGCTAGCAGAGTCGCGCAATCAAATTCATTAAACGCAAGCGTGCTCAAAATCTCGATAGTGCACGCTGATAGCGTCAGCAAATCCGACTTCGCGAGAAATTTTTTTTCGCGCGAGCGGCCATTGTTAGCGCAGGGAAAAATAATATATTTCGCGACAATAATGGTTACAAACAGAAACTCGGCCTACTAGTCCGAAAACGAAGACAATGTTTGGACCTTTTCCCTTGGGCTAGAGTTCT